GTACTTCAGAGAGGTCCCTAACAGCAGACTTTCCCATTGCAATGCATCTTTTAATTTCCTGGCTGCTGGTGCGAGAGTGTTGATTGTGGAGCCAAGCGGACTAAAGCTGTAAATAAGTGGATGGTTTATTCATCCAGGGTGAAGAGATTTTCAGGCAGATGGGATAGCAAGTACAAGGACTAGGAGACAGGAGAGAGTTTTGGGGTGGTAGAGGACGAGGGGTGACCCTAGTGGCTGGAGCACAGGTAGAGGTCTTAAGGTGGAGTTTGGTGAGGTCAGAGGGGTGGGCAGATCTCATAGGACCCTGGAGGCCATTGTGGATGCCATGGGAAAGAGGCCAGGGGCTGTGCGGTGGCCTGATGCATATGTTAAGGAAGCTATTGTGTCTGGCTGTGGGGTGGAGATGACTTAGTTGTCCAGTGTTGATGTGACCATTTAGAGGCTGGGACTGCAGCCCATCAGCACTGAAGTGCCTGGTACAACCCCCACAGCATTTGACTGGTTTCTAATAGTTGACATCCGTTAGCTCATTTCCTCTGTGAAATTGCTCTCCTCATCAGCAAGAGCAGATAATATCATCTCTCTCCTTCAGATGTGGAAGAGAGACACAGAGCAGATGAGGGACTAGGGTGGGGCACAGCCTCTAGTAAATGGTAGCCCTGGGAGCCCAGGTGTCGGCTCTGCTTTGAGGCTGGACTGGGCTCCCATTTTCTACAGGTGCTTCCTTCCTGCTGCTTCATCCCTGCCTCACTGGAGGAGGCACTTGGCACATTTTCAGAATGCCTCTTTTTGCTTTTGCGGTCACAGTGGCAAGCCGAGGCTGGCAGAAGGTGTGAAGTGTGTGAGAGGTGATGCAACCCTGAGTGTAGAGGGATTAGATTTGCACTAAAGGGAATTGAAAGGCTGCAGGACTGTGGGATTTAGCTGGCAGGAGCCCCGGTGGGTGCTGTGTCAGCACAGTTGCCTAAGTAACATGCTTGGTAACGGGGTTGAGATTTTTCTAAAACCTCCTTCTCAGCCTTCCAGTTCCAGTTGTACTCAGTAGGTGACTTAAGTGCATAAGTAGGAAGGAAGCAAGTTGCCAGGTTGGAGGACTTTTCTGGGCTGCATCATAGAACCATGCTCTTGACCAGAATTTGTGATTTTCTGTTATGTGCATGGTTTATCTGCTCATTGTCTCCTTTTCTCAGGATTATGCAAGCTCCATGCAGGAAGATTTTTTTCTGCTTATGATGATTGAGTGAATGAATGAACAGCTTACCAGATTCTTAAAATGCCAGGTTGTTTTTAGTTGCCATCAGGTTGATTCTGATGTGTGGTGGCCTGTGTTACAAAGCAGAGCTTATTCTTTGGGTTTCCTTGGCTGCTGTTTAAATAGAGACCAAGCCTCATGCCTTTCTTCTGACCTGCCTTTGGGTGAATTTGAACTGCCAGCCTTCCAGCTAACAGCCTAGTGTAAACCATTTGTACCAGCTAGGGCCCTTAGTTGGGAAGTATTAGACCGTCACACAATTACTCTGCATGCATTTTGATAAAGGAATATTGACAGAAATACTCATTCAGGGGCTTTGCCTTAGTAAAGTGTGGTATAGACGGTTCTCTGGATACTTCAGGAAATTAATTTCTATGGAAAATATATTCACTTTTAATTTTTCTTGGTTAAAAAAAATGTGCTTTTAGTGTAATTATTTGCCTGGGATGAATGGGTTGATGTGGACACATGTGGAAATGTTAAGAGCTTTGTAGTGATAGCTGCGATCTCATAGCATCTTGCTGCTCACCCATATTCATTTATCACCAGGGTTATAGGGGTCTTCTCTGAGAATGTGCAGATACCTAAATGTACTCTTGCACTGAGGGACAGGCAAGGCTCAAAGGAAACAATGTCATTACTCTGCTTGGGATCAACTGACAGTTTATTCATGTCACAAAGAAAGCATCTAGGACGAGCCGAACAGTGTGTTTTTTTTTCTGAATTTCATGATAAACATGGTGATAGGATACAATTCCCTGTCCTCTCACAGACCCTTTCGCTTATTAAGAAAGATGGAATGAACAGACACAATGTACATGAATGAAACACAATATAAACATATTAAAAGAAATAAATAAAAAGAAAGATGGAATGGGGATGACTCTTATGGTTTCTTTTTCTCTTTAAACATCTGTCTTCTATGGTCAAGGAATCTGTAATGTCTGGTAGTTTAATGATGATCAAAGGTCAGAAAGATAGGAATGCTATCAGAGCTATAACCTTAGGTTCCTTACTGACTTCATTTTTCTTCTGTAAACTAGAGGTAAAGATAGTATCTTCTTACAGATTTTTAAACTGCTATTAAAGAATAATTTTTAAAACCCTCAAAAACTGTTGCCTCTGAGTCATTTCCTTTAGTGAAGATTAAGGAAGGTGATATACGCGTAGTAGTGAAGCCTTCATCTCACAGGAGAAAGGCATCATGTTTGGTAAAATACAGTGTCAGCAAGAAAGAGGAAGACTGTTAACGAGATGACAAAGTGGGTGTAACAGCAGACTCGGGCACCACAGTGATTGTGAGGATGGCACAGGCCTGGGGTCTTGTAGCTTTACAAACTATGAGAAACTAAACTTCTGTTTGTTAAAACTACACCCTTGTAGTGCTTCTGTGACAGCAGCACCAGATAACTAAGAATTTGGTACTGGAAGAGGGACTGCTCTAACAGATAGCTAAATGTGGAAGTAGTTTTAGGATTGTATAATGAGTAGAGGCTGGACGTCCTCAGTGGCATCTCCCAACAGTATGGGTATGGTAATTGAGTCCCTCAGTGGCACAAATGGTTACTAACATTGAACACTTCAGAAACCAAAACAAAGTACTATAATGGAATGTGCAAAGAGCTAGAGTTGGAGAAAAAGAAATTCAAGCTGGGTTTAAAAAGAATGAACTTGCTCAGCAGATCTCAAACTGAAAAGAACTTAAAAACATACTCAATGAAGCCTCGAGTTGCAATGTTAAAGGATTCTATGAGCAAGATCTTGAATGATCCAGGAAGCATAATAATAACAACAACAACAAAAAGATGGAGGGAATACTTGGAGTCATTGTACAAAAAAGAATTAGTGGACGCTGAAAAATTTAAGGAAGTAGCAGATGATAAAGAGCCAATAGTGATGAGGGAAGAAGTCCCAGCTGAATTTAAGGTATTGACAAAAAAAAAAAAAGCCCCAGAAATTGATGGAATACCAATTGATGTGATGTAGCCCTGGACACACTTACTATTCTGTGCCAGGAAATTTGGAGAACTTATCTGGCTTACTGACTGGAAGAGATCCATACTTGTTCCCATCATTAGAAAGGTGATCTAACAGAATGTGGAAATTATTGAATACTATTATTAAATCAAATGCAAGCATAATATTGTTGAAGATCATCCCCAAATAGCTACAACAGTAGGTTGACAGAGAACTGCCAGAAATTCAAATCGAGTTTAAAAGAAGCCATGACTCGAAGGATAGATATCATTGCTGATAGCAGATGAATGCTGGCTGCAAACAGAATACCAGAAGAATGCCTATCTATGTTTTATTGACTATGCAAAGACATTTGACTGTGTGGATCATAACAAACTATGGTTAACATTGAGAAGAAAAGGAATTCCAAAACACTTAATCATGCTCATAATAAAGTTATAACTAGACCAGAGAAGCTGTCTAGAGCAAGAGAACACGGCATGGTCTAAAATCAGGAAAGGTATGTGTTGTATCCTTTCTCATAACTATTCAGTCTGTTTACTGAGAAAATAATTTGAGAAGCTGGACTCTGTGAAGAAGAATGTTACATCAGGATTGGAGATAGACTTCTCAGTAACCTGCATTACGCAGATGACAGAACTTTGCTTGCTTGCAAGTGAGAAGGACCAGAAGTGCTTGGTGCAGAGGATCAAGGACTGCATCCTTCAATATGGATTGAAGCTCAATGTCAAGAAGACAAAATTCCTCACTCCTGGACTATAAGCAACATCATAATAGGTGGAGAAAAGATTGAAACTATCAGTAATTTCATCTTCCTTGGATCTGTAGTCAACACTCTTTGTACCAGCAGTTAGGAGATCAAAAGATGTATAGATGTACAGCATTGAGAACATCCACTGTGAGGCTTCTTTCCAAAGTCTTGATGAGTAAAATAATGTCAGTTTAAACACTAAGATGCACCTGATTCAAGCCGCTGCCTTTTCAATTGTTTTCTACTCATCCAAGAGCTGGACAGTGAATAAGGATGACAGGAGAAGAATCAGTGCATTTGAGTTGTGACGTTGGAGAAGGGTACTGAATATCCTATGGGCTGCCAAAAGAACAAACAGATGTATCTTGGTGAAAGTGCAACCAGAATATTCCTTGTATATAAGGATGATGAATCTTTGTCTCACATACTTTGGGCACGTTTTTAGAAGAAGCTCTTCCTTGAAGAGGGGCATCATGTTTGGGAAAGTGGAGGGTCAGCAAAAGAGAGTAAGACCGTAAAAGAAATAGACTTGATACAGTGTTTATGGAAACGGGCTCAAATGTGTGGGGCATGGTAAGGGTGGCGCAGCATAGAACAGGGTTCAGATCTGTTCTTAGGGTTGCTGTGAGTCATACTTGACTCGACAGCGGTTAACAATAACGACAACTAATAGAAAGATGCAAATGCCTCAGAAGAAAAGGCTGACAGTTTGCTTCCAAAAGGCCATTAGCATGACAGCCTTGTGGAGTAGAGTCTAAAACCCATGGCAACACCATGAGTGGGAATCGGCTAGTTGGTGGCTGATTTGGTCTGGCTTATGGGCATGATGTTCCTGGGACAAAGTTAGTTGCTCAGCTATCTTATTAAAGTTATGTCTTATTTTAACTTATTATTATTTCTATTTTATGCTGTCTATTTGAGTTGTTTTATAAATTACCTCCAGAGATATTCTGGCTAGTTTGTTAAATGCTCACCTACATTCTGAATTTATTTTTGTCTTAAATTATATCCTGCTTGTAGGCAGACAACCAAGTAGACCTGGTCCGACAGCATTTCTATGAAGTGTCGCTGGAGTACGTCTTCAAGGTGCAGGAAGTCCAGGAGCGAAAGATGTTTGAGTTCGTGGAACCTGTAAGTAGATGCCCAGGGTTTACAATAGACCCACTCATTTTTCCCCCACTCCAATTTGACTCTCTGACCTAAACCAGACTCACTGCAGTCAAGTGGATTCTGATTCGTGGCACCCTTCCTTCAGGTGTCTGAGGAAGTGACAGCTTCAGTTTTTTCTTGTGGAGTTGCTCATGGAATTCAAACCACCAACCGTTGGGTTAACAGCCAATATGCGCTGTGTGGCCATTAGCTGGAATAAGCAGCATTTAACAGCTACCACCAAGTCTTTTTTCCTAAGTTTGTCTGAACTGGCAACCTTTCAGTTAGCAGCAGCTGAGTGCTTACCCATGTGTCACCAGGGCTCCTTAGAATTCACCTAACAGTACATGGGCTTCACACTTCATTTAAAACTTTTGCAGACCCTACAATTTTTATTTTTTTTTTTTAGACCCTACAATTTTTAACTAATACTCAGTCACTGAACTTGACAAAAGCTTTAGTTTTCTTATCTGCATACATTTGAAAAATGATAATTTCCTTCAGCAAATAAGAATAAAACTTTTAAGAAACTGACATTGAAGTAACTTCTGTTTTAAGTGGAGACCTTGCCATTCTTAGTTTCTATTTTATAAACTTTTGGGATTTTCTTAGGCATGCAGATTTACTAAGCAGTTTTAGCAAGCCTCCAGGTAGTTCTGGGACACGTATTATTTCTGACTGTGTTGCAACCTTGAACCTCAGGGTGTAATGCCTGACTCTGCCATCTTTTCTCTGGAAAATTCCTTGAGTCCTCATTGCTTCAGTCAATTCTTTTTGGTGCACTGATTCTGTATTCCCTTCATCTTCTTTAAATGGTTCCTGGATCCTTTAGTATTTAGCTCATAGCATTTCTCAATATTACAGCCCGTGGCTTGAATTTGTTTTTCAGTTCTTTCAGCTTGAGAATTTGTAGAGCAAGTTCTTCTCCTTTTTATTCTCCAAATCCAGCTGTATACATTCAGTTATAATACTTTGTATTCTCGAGCTTTGAAATCTTCTTCTCATCTCTTTTATTTCAGCATCTCTTCTTTTTGTTTTGGCTCCTCAATGCTCCTGTGCAATATTCAGAGTCTTTTTCTGTCATCCTTACTCATTATCCAGTTCTCGGATGCATAGCTAGTATTCAGAAAGACCATGGCCTGAATCAAACACACCTTAGTCCTCAAACTGACATCACTACTCCTCAATAATTTGAAAAGGTCCCTAACTGCAAATATTTCTATTGCAATGTGTCTCCTTATTTTCTGACTGCTTATACCAAGTGTGTTAATTGTGGACCCAAGTAAGATGAAGCTGTTGACAGTTTCAATCTCCTCTCCATCCATCATGACACTGCCTATTGGTCATGTGTTAAGAATCTTTGTTTTCTTGATATTTAGATGCGATCCATACTGAAGGCTGTATTTCTTGATGTTTTGCAACAAGTGCTTCAAATCTTCCTCACTTTCAGCAAGTAAGGTTGCGTTATCTGTATAAGATATAAGACAGGTTATTGATGAGTCTCCTTCAATCCTGATGCCACATTCCTCTTCATGAGTCCAGCTTTTCAGATAATTTGCTCAGCATGAAGAATGAACAGGTATGGAGACAGAATAATCCTTGACACACTCCTTTCCCAATTCCAAACCATGCAGTGCTCCCCTGCTCTGTTTACACAACAGCCTCCTGTTTCAGGTATAGGTTCCTTATGAGCACAATCAAGTGCTCTGGGATACAGTGATTCAAGTTTTTATTTCTTCATTGCAAATAATTTTTCTAAAAGACACAAAAGATGACTTCACACGTGGGTTTCACCCAGTGGGCTGCATCAGAATCAGATTGACTACATTTATGGAAGAAATCATTGGAGAAGCTCAATATCAGCAGTCAAAACAAGGCCAGGGGCAGACAGACAGTGGATCAGACCATCAATTACTCATATGCAAGTTTAAATTGAGGCTGAAGAAGATTAAAATAAGCCCAAAGGAATCAAGATGTGATCTTGAATCAATTCCATTGGAATTTCATGAATATCTTAAGAATAGGTTTGAGGCATTGAACACTATGATAGAAGACCAGATGAGTTGTGAGATGATATAAAGGATATCATCCATGAAGAAAGCAAAAGGTCATTACAAAAACAGAGGAGAAAGAAAAAAACAAAATGGATGTCAGAAGAGACTCTAAAGATTGCACTGGAACGTTGAGAAGCCAAATCTAAAGGAAAACATGTCAAAGTGAAGTAGCTGAATAGACGGTTTCAAAAGGCAAAGCGGAAGGACAAAGCAAAGTATTATAATGGAATGTGCGGGAGCTGAAATTGAAGAATAAAAAGGGAAGAACTTGCTCTGCGTTTCTCAAGTTCAAAGAAATGAAAAACAAATTTAAGCCTCATGTTGCAATATATTGAATAATCCAGAAAGCATCAAAAGAAGATGATGGGAATATACAGAGTCACTGAACCAGAAAGAATAGATTGACCCTGAAAAATTTCAGGAAGTACCATATGAACATGAGCCAATGGTAATGAAAGAGGACGGGAAGCTGCCTTGAAGGCATTGGCAAAAAATAAGGCTTCAGGAATCGATGGGATACCAGTTTACTTGTTTCAGTTAATAGATGTAGCCTGGGATGCACTCACCACTTTATGCCAGGAAATTATGAAAGCTTTGCTCTGATAAATTTGAAAACCTGGAGAAAATGGGCAAATTCCTTGAAACTCAGGCTGTACCCAAATTGACATGGACAGATGCAGAACACTTGAGCAGACCCATCACAAAAGAAGAAACTAAACAGGTCATATAAAGACTCCCCACACAAAAGAAGTCCTGGACAGATGGCTTCACAGCTGAATTCTACCAAACATTCAAAGAAGATCTATCGCCAATTCTACTTGAATTATTTAAAAAAAATAAAAGAATAAAAAAATACTCCCAGAGTTTTTCTATTAAACAGGCAAACTCTAAAACTAAAACCAGGCAAAGATATTACAAAAAAAAGAAAACCACAGACCAATATCTCTCATGACTATAGATGCAAAAATCCTTAATAAAATCCTGGCCAACAGTAAATGAAAAAAAGAAAATCATCATGACCATGTGGGATTCATAAGAGTTATGCAAAGATGGTTCAACATAAGAAAAACAATCAACATAATTCATCACATTAACAAAGCAAATAATAAGAACCACATGATCCTAGCAATTGATGCAGAAAAGACCTTTGACAAAATCCAACACCCCTTCTTGATTAAAACACTCAGCAAAATAGGAATAGAAGGGAAGTTCCTCAACATAGTGAAAAGTATATATGCAAAACCAAGAGCCAATATTATTCTCAATGGACAAAGACATTCTCCTTAAGAATAGGGTGTTATCCAGAAAAGGATGTCTGCTGTCACCACTCCTATTCAGTATTATATTGGAAGTACTTGTTAAGGCAATGCAGTAAAAGAAGAAAATATAAGGCATTCACATTGGCAGAGAGATGGTGAAACTGTCACTATATGAAGATGATATAGTGTACACAGAAAACCCCAAACACTCAATCAAGAAAATTGTTAGAGCTAGTAGACCAATTTAGTAGAGTGTCATGATACAAGATCAGTATATAAAAATCAGTGGGATTCCTCTACAGTAACAAAGAAAACCCAGAAAAGGAAAATAAGAAAGCAATACCATTTACAGTAGCTAACCACAAATTGAGATATTTTGGAATAAACCTAACTAGAGACTCAAAACACCTTTACAAAGAAAACTACAAAACAATTCAGCAAGAAACAATAAAAGTCGTAAATAAATGGAAAAATGCTCCCTGTTTGGGATAGGAATACTCAATATAGTAAAAATGACAATCCTACCAAAAGCAATTTACACATTAACTACAATCCCAAACAGATAAATTTATTTTTTGAAGAGATATTAAAGGCAATTGGTAAGTTTATTTGGAGAGGAAAGAGACCTCAAATAAGCAAAGCACTTTTGTAAAATCAGAAGGAAGTGGGAGGCATAGCACTCCCTGATCTCAAAACCTACTATGCAGTGTAATAACCAAAACACCATGATACTGGTACAATGACAGGCACGTAGACCAGTGGGATAGAATTGAAAATTCAGAAATCAACCCATTTATGGTCAGCTGACATTCGGTGAAGAAACAAAACTTATCAAATTGGGGAAATGACTTCTTCAACAAATGGTGCTGGCAAAACTGGACTGCTAACTGCAGAAAACTGAACCAGGATCCCCATCTCATGCCATACACAAAGATCAACTCAAGTTGGATCAGACAGCTAGAGGTAAAGCCCACAATCATAAAGATGGTAAGAGACAAAGAGTTTCCCAGTACAATGTGTATGTATCCTTGCATTATGTCATGTAATTATTTTTTTTAAAAATGTTTAAATTAAATGTGTTTATTACTGATTTTTATGCAACATATATATATTTTTTTACAGCCTATTACTTTTATTTAATATTTACCCCCATTCATTCATTGTTGCACATTTTCCTCCCTGCCCACCCAGTTCTGAAGCAGGTACTGTTATTTCTGTTTTCAGATGAAATAGAAATTTATTTACTTGTCCAAGGTCATTTCTGGTTAATAGAACAAGGAAAGTCTGTCTGGCTCTTAATATCTGTGAAACGTAGTATGTACTTGCTTACTGGTGGACCAGCAAGACATTTATTGAACGTAACTGTTGGAGTATCTGAGGTGAATGTTTGTTTTGAGTTGATTGCAGTCAAGGAGCCAAGGGAATCTTCTATCCCTTCAAAGAATCCCCATACACACTGACCACATTCATTTTTTTCTTGGAAAGTAACTCCAAGTCCCAGGTTATTACTGACCTTCAGAGAAAGAAACACACTCTTAGTGTTCCCAGGAAGTAAAATCAGGTTTCTGGCATCTGAACCTTTTCATTTTATTTTATTTTGCCCCGGAAGCCTTTGTTTTCTTATTGAGGTACCAAATGTTCTTGAGATTTGGATTGCAGATAATGACATACTGACTTTGTGAAGGTGAAAGCACGTTCCCTCTGTTCTCTGAGTTTTCATAATTGAAGGTTAGCTGATTCTACGGAGAACTTGTCTCCATGCTTGCCGGCAGCACAGCCTCTCAGCTTCACCTTCGGAATATTTCTTAGTGCTGTGTCTTACCACTGCCCTTGTCGTCTGCCCCATCCTGCGCCAGCCTTTTATCCTTTCCCTTCAGTCTGTTGCATCCTCCCCCCTTCTCCAGTGTGGCCATTGTGCGTCTCCGAAAACATCGGTCTGATGATACTTCTCTCCTGCTGAAAAACTCCTTCTGGCTCCCTGTGCTGAGCCCGTTACATAGATGATCTCAGTTAATCCTCACAGGTACTATTACTGTCCCCCTAACAGACAAGAGGACCACCACTCATCTGTCAGTTTGTCATGCTTTAGTGGCTTGTATGTCACTCTGATTTTGGATACTATACCACTGATAATTTCAAATACCAACAGCATCACTCATGATAGGCAAGTTCCACCAGGTGGTCTAGGAGGGAAGAGTTGTAAAAATATTTAAGAAAACATGTTAAGGACCATCAAGTTGACCATGACTTAAAGCAACGCTATGCCTATGCACAAGAACACTGTCTAACTTGCCTGCAGCATTGTCTAACTGGCATCCCATCAGAAACAGTCACCGCAGGGGAACACCGTATTTGGGGAGATGGAGGCCAGTGAGGATGAGAGAGAGAGAGCGCTTAGATGAAACAGACGGAGAGCACCTGTAGTGCTGAACGTGATCGTCCTGGTGGTCCTGAGGACTAGAAGCAAGCCGCATTTCATTCGCTTACACAGTTGACTGCCGTGGGTCAGAGTTGATTTGACAGTGTCTTTCTAAAGTTAAGGAACTGACTGGAGTTGACCGTCTTCCCTAACCCAGCTCTGGCAGAGCTTAGCTCTTCTTCACGCTGCTGCCTGCCCTGCTCTTTGCCGAGTGAATAAGTGATTCTTGATAATTCTGCTATGAATGGAAACAGAATTATCAGCCCAGAATGAGGCTGTTGTTATGTACCATTGAGTCAGAACTGACACACAGTTGACCCTCCAGTGGATTTTTCAGGGGCAGGAAATTGCATGGGTGTTGATTGCCCATCTGCCCTCAGGAGGAGCCGCTGGTGGATTGAAACTCCATACTTTTGAGTTGGCAGCCCAGCTCCTTTCCAGGGCTGCATTTACAAAACTGAGCCATTAGACTTTTGCTGCTCTTTTTAAAATCCATGTTTGTTGCCAGCCGGAAAGTCAGAATAAGCTTTGCTTACAGTTTTTCTCAGAAGGCGGCAAGGATAGGGAAGCCAAAGGGAGACAGGAGGTCTCTTCCCTTGCTCTGGACATGTCATCAGGAGGATTCATTTCTTTGGTATTTCCTTTCCTGTGCTGTGACCAAGGCTTAGGGAGGAGCCTCTGTGGAAGCATTGACCTCTGTTATCTGATAACCATGGGGAGCTGTGACAAGCTTTTCCTTTTTGTATTTGACTAGCAGATCTTCTCTGAAGCACAAAGTCCCTCCTATCCTCTGTGAATGTTGGAGGAGGGGATTTTACTTCTTCCCAGTAGTGAAAGGTTCCCGCAGTGTTTGGGGCAGGGGCTGCAAAGAAGGGGAGGAGAGAAGCTACTGTGACAGGAGAAGGAAGGAATGTGTCCTAAATAAGAATATTTGAGGCACTATTTCCCACAGGAGAAATGGTCAGTTGAGGCCGGACACCAAAAGCCGCAAAAGTGAAAATACTTACTAGTACTTTTTTGCCTTTGGAGTGCTTAACGTGTATGCCTGGGAGGTGTCTTCCTGAGCTGCTTGACAGTTTTTTTCTAATTGCAATAAAATCTAATTGCCCTGAGCAAGAGACGCCCTGTTTATTTAAACATGGATAAATCAAAGCTAATAGGAAGAATGACCTTGGGATTCACTATTACTTTGTGTATTATTCTTGAGTAGGTGATGGCTCAGTGCCTCAACATTCAAGTCCACCATTCAAGTCATACAAAGGTTGCGATGGGCAAGGTTGAGAGAAGGTCAAGCACAGTTTTCATTGTCAATATCAGAGCCAGACTTGGCATAAAAGCTATTTTTCCTTTATGACTGGAATCTAGAAGGAAAGATATGGGCCGCCTTCTCAAAACTGTTTAATAAAGAATAAATCCAAAGACTTGGGTCATCTTTGGAGAATTTCTATTTAGTGTTTGATGATTCCATGTCATTGATTTATGTCAGGAGTTTATATATGAGATCACTAGATTTTTTTTGTTTTTATCACCAAAGGATCCAGCAAAGCCTACTCTATGTAAAAGTGGGGAAAAGGCAGAGGGAAGTCAAGGCGCCATCTTGTTATACTCTAGGTTTATCTGAGTTTCCAATACAGAGCTTTTTTGTTTTTTTGGTTTGCTTTGTTTTAGTAAAGTAGGCTGTAAACAAAGACCTATTCTGAGCTCAGATAGAGTAGCCCATTCTTTGGTTTTTACTTACCTTCTTACCGCAGGGAAAGTAGGAGAGCAGGTATGAGGAAGAGCCTCCCATGGAAATTAGGAGGACTCGTCTCAGAAGTGGAGAGTTAAGTCAAAGGCCATTGCAAAAGGCTTCTTAAAAATGTTAAAAATGGAAAAATATCTTTATGGTCACCACTCAGCTGAAACGTATACTAATGACAGTCCAAGACTACAGCTCCTAGCATAGATTACACTTCAACATAAAGAAAACAGAAATTCTACAATTAGAGTAATAAGCAAGGGTTTCCTTTTAACTTGGATCCACAGTTAATGCCCATGGAAACGAAATGATGTGTTGCACTGTCAAATCCTACTGTAAATGACCTCTTTAAAAGTGTTAAAAAGTAACGTTGTGACCTTGACGACTAAGGTGTATTTGACTCAAGTCATGGTATTTTCCATCACCTTTTATGCATGTAAAACTAGACAGTAGACAGGGAAGACCAAAGAAGAATTGATGCCTTTGGATTTTGATGTTGCTGAAGAATGTTGAAATAGTGTTGATTGCCAGGAGAACAAACAGATCTGTGTTGGAGGAAGTACAGCAGCCAGAAAGCTTGTTAGCAACAGGATGGTGAAGACTTTGCTTCATGTACTATGGGTGTGTTTTGAGGAGAGACTAATCCTTGGAAAGGATAATCACACTTGTTAGAGAGTCAGTAAAAAGGGAGGAAGATGCTTAATGCAATGGATTGACACAGTGAGTGTAATAATGGCGTCAAACATAGCAACAGTTGTGAGAATGGTTTGGGGATGGACGGTGTTTCATTCTGCTGTATGTGAAGCTGATGTGTGTCAGACAGAAAGAATAGACTCAATAGCATCTAACATTATGCTTAATAAGAAAAGGGTTTGAAAACTAATTATAACACCATCAGATAAGACAAATGTGTCTGGCAGAATGTGATAGAGGTAGATCAGAGAGAAAATGGGACCTGGCAGTGAGAAGATGAAGGTAGAGAAGGGGTGTCCCCAAAGTGTGATAGAATTATGACGGGGTCCTTCTAAGCCTTCTTCTTCAGGTTGAGAATGGAAATGGTAGCCAGCTGTGTCGGTCTTGAATGGGGTCAGGAAAGCATATCAACAGAGAGGTGTGGATGTAGGATCTCCAAGGGGTTGTTTAGCTTGGAGAAGTGAAGATGGACTCAGGGTGGGGATTTGTAATAGTTTTTAAGTGTGTGAAAGCATGTTGGGAGAATGGTGTGGTGAACAGATGTTTTCACTATTCACTGAATGCAAGACTAGATGGTGAGTGTGTTTACCTTTTAGGCAGAAGGGATTTAAATTAATGTTTAAGGGAAATAAATAATAAATGACAACTTGGAAATGTGGGAGTATTTTAATAAAGAAACTTGCTCTACATTTGAATACACTAAGGAAAGCACACCAGAGGGCTTAAGTCTAACCTGCATGATTGTCTTTGATCAGACTTTGCCTCTTAGATGACAGATGTGGGCCTATCAAATAACCACACTCTGATAGGAGTCTTAGTGGTTTTTTGTGTTAGGTTTTGGGCTGCTCATGAAAAGTCAGTGGTTCAAACCCACCAACTGGTTTGTGGGTGGAAGGTGAAGTGATCTGCTCCTGTAAAGGTGGCAGCCTCGGGAACCCTCTGTAGCAGTTCTGCTCTGTGCCACAGGGCCACCGCAGGGCCACTGAGAGTCAGAATCCACCTGATGGTAGCAGTTTAGGTTCGATATTTTATGTGATAACTGATTACTGTAAATGCATGTGGTAGAAACTGAGCTGGAGCCTGGCTCTTCAGTTTATGATTTTGTTATGGAGGTTTTGAGACCTGCAGGGTAACAGCATGGGATGCCGTGGTTTCAAACACTAGTCATTTACTGTGTGTTCTTGGGCAAGTTTCTTAACCTCTCTGAGGCGGCTTCCTCATTGCTAAAATGGGAGTACAGTATTCCCGACCCTTCAGGCTGTGGCGAGAGGCAGTGAGGTGGCAGGCACAGCCACGGCGCCAGTGCCTGGTGCACAGGAAGTGCTCGCTCAATGGTGCCAATTATTTTACGTTACTTTAGATTTTTGGAGCAGTTCTGGGAACTCACTTACAGATGCGTGGTACCTTTTTTTAATCTACTATGTGATCTTTGCCCTTTTTCTTCCGATACAGCTCCTGGCCTTTTTGCAAGGACTCTTCACTTTCTATCACCATGGTTATGAACTGGCCAAGGATTTCAGCGACTTCAAGACGCAGCTGACCATTAGTATACAGAATGTGAGTGGGCAGAGGGACAGACTTCCTTTCTATGGTTAATAAAAGGGGGGGGGGAAAGTGGCCTGGTTGCCATAGAGACTCCTCAGCTTAACTGGAATGCCAGTGATGGGTGGATCTTGCTTGGAATCCCAAGGACAACTGGGGGACAGGCGTTTCAAGGGTGCTTGGTGGGCCCATGTCAGACCCTCATCCTCTTCTAAATTATTTCTGAGCACTATTTATATTCTGGAAGTGCTGTTAATGATTATGATTTAAATAGGTAGCCCTGGAGTCAGGATTTCCTTTGATGGTAGAAATCCTTCTGCAGCCCAGCGCAGCTTCCCTGCTGTGCCTCAAACTGTCTAGACACTTCAGTCTTTGGAGTGTGGGACTCTGAGATGAGCATGGACCTCACACATTAGCCTCCAGGGCATGTGCTCTGTTCACTCTCTTCCCTAAATTTCTGACAGCGTACCCTTTCCTGTCTGCTGTCGTTTGGTTAGCTAGAGCCGGATCCCACTCTTTCAATGTGATTATGCCTTGTTTTGGTGTTTTCTTTAAAAAGATCTTCTTTGTCTCTAGATTTTCGTTTACTATCTACTGTCCGTGTTTGCAGGAAACACATATATATCCATATGAGTTGTACTGAATGGTTCCTGGATGTCTGGAACCTTTCCTTGATGTGATTCTCTGAATCATTTATTTTAGAGAACAAGACACTGTGGAGTTTCAGAAAATCTCTCATGAGATATAGTTTCCTTTTAGATCAAGGTTCTCAGAAGCAAAGATTTGTGCGAAGATGGTTTAGTGGGATGTGCTGCCCACAGAAACACTGGTGAGAGGCTGAAGGTAGCTGAGGAGCTGTGGAGCCAAGCTCATCCTTCCAAGTGGTCCTGAGAGAAAACCGGGGGGAGGGGTGTGAGGAGGCAGGCTTGCATTGGCCCCTTCCCCTTTTGCCCTAAACTTCTACTTGTTGGGGTGCAGACTGCCTTGGGGAGAGGAGTCACCTTGAAGGAAGCAGCTCTCCTCTGAAGGCACTTGCCATGAGGGACTGAGCCATGAGCCAGCAGCAGGCATATTCCCTGCAGCCGAGAAGTGATTCCTCAAGTCATAAAAGGAGGGTCTGAGCATTGGACCATCATACCCACTACAAGCTTCATGAATCCACAGAACTCCAGTCACATGGAATGATTGTTTAAAATCCATATATCTTAGTCCAGTGTTGTTGTTATGTGCATTCGAGTTGCCTGTGGCAAGAGCTCTGAAGTCTGCCCGATCCAGAGCCAGTCTCACTGACTCTGGCACACCTACCCCCATTACCCCAGTTACTGTGTTAATCCGTCTCATCCAGGGCCTCCTCTCCTGCACTATCTCTTCACCCTTCTGAGTATGATGTCCTTCTCCAAGAATTGGTCCCTCCTGGCCATGTGCCCAAAGAATGTGAGACAGAGCTTCAAAATCTTAACCTCCATGGCAAAAGTTGATACCTGTTTGTTCTCTTGGTGGTCCATGGTATGTTCAATACTTTTTTCAAGTCCAGTTGAAGTACTCAGTTGATCTTTAAAGGTGAGGTCTGGATATTTGCAGGTGAATTTGATGGTCACTAAAGTTTGAGAGTCATTGTAACATAGGACCACTATAAGGCCACAGTTTACTTAGGAGTGAACATTTGCCTAGTGCCTGGTTTCAGATCCAAGTTCTCTATTAAGGGAGTGTACTGAATTGTTAATGGGGATTCTGTTTCCTTTATTTGAATGAATTTCCTTTCACCTTAGACGAGAAATCGCTTTGAAGGCACCAGGTCAGAAGTGGAATCACTGATGAAGAAGATGAAGGAGAATCCCCTTGAGCATAAGACCATCAGTCCCTACACCATGGAAGGGTACCTGTATGTCCAGGAGAAACGTAAGTACTTTAACTGCCAACACCCAGTTGCCTTTTATTCAGAAGGGAGAGGGTATTTCTACCAGGTGCTGCCGAGTCACTTCCAACCGTGCCCACTCCGTAAGTGTCAGGATAGAACTACGCTCCATTTCAGTGTCTGACTTATTTAGAAAGATCACTAGATCTTTCTTATGAAGAACTGCTGGATGGGCTTGACCTTCCAAACCTATGAGTAACAATTGAGTCCATTAATTGTTGAGCAAATTGTTTGAAAAACTGGACTCTATGAAGAAGAATATCAGGATTGGAGGAAGACTCATGACACAGCCTTGCTTGCTGAAAGTGAGGAGGCTTGATGTTCTAGTTGCAGAAAATCAAAGACTACAGCCTTCAATATGGAATGCATCTCAACGTCAAGAAAAAGAAGAAAAACATTCTCACCATTGGATCAATAGACAACAATATGATAGATGGAGAAAAGATTGAACTTGTTAATGACTTCATCTTGCTTGGGTCCATAATCAACACCCTTGGTACCAGCAGTCAGGAGATCAGGAGATGTATTGCACTGGCAAAGTCTAATATCAGGAACTTTTTCTAAATTATTGAGAAACAGTGATCACAGTTTGAAGAGTACTGTGCACCTGATTCAGGCCATGATCTTTCTGATCACTTGCTATGTATCTGAGAGCTGGATTATGAATAAGGATGACAGGAGAAATGATGCCTTTGAGCTCTGGTGTTGGACAAGAGTCTGGATTCTCCCACAGACTGCCAAAAGAACAAATAAATATGTCTTGGAGAAAGTACACAAGAGCGCTCTTTGGAGACAAAGACGACAAAGCTTCAGCTCACATACTTCGATCTTGTTGTTGGGAGAGGCTATTCCTTGGAAATGCAACATCATGCTTGGAAAGGTGGAGGTTCAGTGAAAGAGGAAGACCCTCAACCAGATGGATTGACCCAGTGACTGCTGCAGTTGGCTCAAGTATGTTAGACATGATGATGAGGATGGCACAGATAGGACAGGGTTCAGACCTGTTATTCATAGTTGCTATGAATTGTACTCCACTCATTGCCATATAACACCACCACCACCACATTGCACCATAAGTGTGTGTCTGCGCGATTGATAGTAATTTCATAGTTTACTCTCCAAAGAAAGGAAAAGAGTTGTCTCTATTGCTAAATGGTTTGTTTTCTTTGTAGCTGAACATTCCCTTGGGAACCTAGAATTTATTGAACATTAATTGTGGTCCTTGCAGGCAGAACCTCCTTCTGTAATAGTACTGTGTTGTTAGAAATACAGTAATTGAGCAAGCACTTGGTCAAATAAGAGACTTTGAAGAAACTTGACTGGGTGACCCCTTCTTAAGGGATGGCTCTTTAGATTACACTTGGAGCTACAGGGTCACTTTTATTCAGTGTCTTTTGTCTCTGAGTCTTCCTGTTCTCTGTCTCAGATCTTATTTAGTTCTACTAAAGTGAAATTTGGGGCCTTGGAAGTAGGTCAGAGCCCCAGTATATCTGTAAGCAGAGATGCTGGAGCAGCTGTGTGGGAAGCAAGACGTCATCGCCCCAGATGCGAGTGGTGGAAAGCACTTGGAGGAGCCCTGAGTGTTCTCTACTCGTTCATCTCACTCCTGTCAGGGAAGAGCGAGGAAACTTTAAATGGAGATTGATGATGGGAATATGAATTAATATCCCCAGGGAACTCTACTTCCCTTATATTTTAAGACCTAGTGGATGTAGCACTAGTGGGAAACAGTTTTTCTTGGTCCCTGGGGGTGAGCCCTGGGTCAGTTCTGTTTCCAGCCTGTGGGATCAGCTTTCTGTCTATTCTTTTCTCACTGGTGTGGCTAATGTCCTGCGCCAAGAAGCACTTTAAGAGTAGGTGCACACTGTAGGTAATAGGTTGAGTGTTTCTCCACTTAGGGCACGCTGTATACAGTGGATGTGTGTAGCTGTTTCACAGGACCTATTTGCTTGCAGGTCACTTTGGAACATCTTGGGTGAAGCACTACTGTACATACCAGCGGGATTCCAAACAAATCACCATGGTACCGTTTGACCAAAAGTCAGGAGGGAAGGGGGTGAGTACATTTTTAAAACTTCATGCTTAATTTGTTTGATTAACATACACTGGTAATAAAGGATACATAAAGTAACACTTCTGCTTTTTTACTGTAATTAAAATTTTTTTTCTACAGTAATTCCAGGATAAAGAATAATGAAAAACAGATAATGATTCTAAGCTCTAAGTTATATTAGGACCTGTAGTTAAGAAAGATTATTGTATTTCACATCCTTACAGTATTACATGTGGTAAAATGAGAAAAAAAAATCTCAGATGACCTCCTCCTGTGAAACAGATTCATGTCATTCTCATTTGCTGGGAAACTGCCAGTTGGCAGGGTGTATGTTACAGATACCTATTGCTGTGTAACAAATCATCCCTAAAGCTAATGACTTGAAACACCACCGACCATTTCATTTTTTTCTATTTTATTATTATTATTAATTATAATGAAAATTTACAGAAACTTGGGATTTCTGTTCATTCATTGTTGCACTTTTCTCCCTGCCCACCCCTCCCCCCAGTTCACTCTTCTCTTTGAAAAGTAGTCTCTCCCCCCCAGGTCCACTCCAGTATGCAGCCTTTGTTCTGGACAACACTGACCATTTCATTGTTAACAAAGCTCTTGGGGGTTAGGGGATGAGCAAGCCTTTGGAGTCGGTCTCAAGTGTCTCTCATGCAGTTCCAGTCAGGTGGTGTCAGAGCTGGATGGACAGTGGAGGTCTAAAACAGCTGGTGGCTGTCCAGACACAGCTGTCTCTGCCTCTCGCCTGCTCTTTTCTTGTCCTCCTTTTCCTCTTTCTCAGGGGAGTCCACGGCCTTTCCATGTGACTGCTGAACTAATTTAGACTTCCTCACAATATGGTGGCCTCAGGATAGCTAAAGTGGTCAAGAGTGAGTGTTTTTGCAACTAAAGTAAGAGCTACATTGCCTTTTTGTGGGATACTTCTCTCAGATATCACACATGTTGCTGTTGGGCTATCTGTGGTTGAGACAGTTGCGAAAGCCCCTTAATTTCAGTAGGAGAGAACATACCTCACCTCTCCATGGGAAGAATGTCAGAAGAGCAGTGGGCTAGATGGAAGGTATTCTTGGGGCCATGTTTAGAATACACTGTCAGCTACATGAGGCTTCCTGGTATCTTTGCTGTTGGGGAGCTCCTTAGAGAACTATAATATTTTCTTTTCCACAAGGCTGTTGTCACTCACCTCCTGCTACACAGTCCCCTTTGGGCATTTCCAGTGCAGTGCATTTCCCTTTTAGGTGGTCCATCTTTTCTCTGACTGCCCTTAATATGTTGCGGGGTTTTGTTTTGTTTTTTCCTTCTTTAATGTACTGCATTTCACTGTGAGGAGCATAGATGTAGAAATGTAAGTGTAAATGTAAATTTTACTATGGTTTTGAAGATTTGCTCCTCTTATTTTTTTAAGAAAAAAACAAAAAATTAAAAATTAGGGTACAAATTTACTGATCCCACATCAAACTGTCACTTCCAGTTCACATAGGTTTGCTCCTTCAGTATCTGATCATTGTGGAATTATTACTTTGAGCTTTTCCTCCTCCTATTCTTTTTATTATATTCTCCTATAACTCTGATTAAACATTTTCATTTTTCTCTATATATTTCCCTATCTCACACCCTCTTTCTTGAAAATTTTTTTTGTGCCATTGATTCTCTAGACTACATTGTAGAAAATTTGTTGGTACTACCTTCAGTTTGAACCATTTTAAAAATGGATCCTGATTAATAATTTAATTTACATTTTCATTTAAGTTTTCATGTTTAAATATTCTTTTTTAAAATATCTTTCAGTGTGTGTGTGTGTGTGTGTGTGTATAAAAAGTTGTGATTTTCCCCTACCATTTCTTTAAACATAGTAAGTATACTGCTTTTCTATTATGTGTGGTTATTCCAGTATTGTAAGTCTTTGCAAATCTTTCTGCCAGCTCTTATTTCTGTTCATTCTTCCTTATGAATCTTTATTTTCTTTAGGATATTTTGCTCATATGGCATAGTCCATATGGGGTGGCCCTGGTACCCCAAAGGCTGTTGCTTCCTGAAGCTTTGAATCTACCAGTGGCTCCATGGGAGAAAGATGCACAGGTTCTTCCCATGCAATTTATAGCCTTGAAAACCCATGGGAGAATTAGATGGTTCTGACTCCCAGGATGAGTTTGAATTTTTTTAAAAAATTTCATTCCTTTGAACATTTTCAGTGGGAATTCTTTAGGACCTGTGTTGAAGTTGAATTTCTGTGATGACAGAGAATTTGTGTTTTTTCCTGTGAGCTACTTGGAGCCATATTATTTGTTTGAAACATTTCTACGACCAGAAGAGGATAAAATAGATGAATCAGACCTTCTAGGAATCAAATCCCTAGGCACATCCAAAACCTTCTCCATCAGGGTAAAAAGGGAAGCCACAGATTGAGAAAAAATATTTGTCAATGACATGTGTGATACGGGACTTATATCTAGAATTTATAGACTACTTGAGCGCCACAACAAGATAAAGGTAAACAACCCAATTGCAAGATGGGCACAGAATATGAACAGACACTTCACCTAAGAAGACATTCAGATGGTGAACAAACACATGAAGAGATGTTCAAAATCCCTAGCTCTAAGAGAGATGCAAATCAAAACAACTATGAGATATCATTTCACCCCAATAAGAATAGCAAAATTCAACAGAATAGCAAACAACAAATACTGGCGAGGTTGTGGAGAAACTGGAACCCTTATTCACTGCTGCTGGGAGTGTAAAATGGTGTAACCACTATGGAAGGCAGTATAGTGCTTTTTTAAAAAGTTGGAAATAGAAATACCATTTGATCCAGCAATTCCACTGCTGGGAATATACCCTAAAGAAGCCAAAATTGCCACCCAAACAGATATTTACACACCAACGTTTATTGCTGCTTTGTTCACAGTAGCAAAAAGTTGGAAACAACCCAGGTACCCATCATAGTCAAC